GATTTTATGAAATTTATCTGTTGAATTTTTTCATTATTATTATTACTGAATTTTATTGTCAAAGTGTTGTTCCCAGAAACTTTTAAATCTCCTTGATTGGCATAAGTTTCTATCCTTCTTGCTTTGTTGTGATGTGCAAATTTCATTGCAAATGTTACCTCTTCCAACCTCAGCCAGATTTTGTCTTCTCACTTCTGCAGCATCTTTATTAATGACCCTCCTGCCAGAATTTCCCTCTAACTGTCCCCAAATCCACCTTCAGAATATTATCATTAACAGTACTTATAATCCTATACTAGAGGCCTGGTGCACAGAATTCGTGCATGGGTTGGGTTGCTAGGCCTGGCAAGTGATCAGGGCCAATTTTGGGGCGACTGATAGGGTAAATAACCCCCCCCCCCCCCCTGCTGGCACCAGCCTTGGCTGGCCATCGCCACCAGAAGGGGCCTGTGGGCTGAGGGCAATTCCTGTGTTGAGTGTCTGCCCCCTGGTGGTCAGTGTGCATCGTAACGACCGTTGTTCTGCTTTTCAATTGATTTGCAGATTAGGCTTTTATTATATAGAATAGTAAAAGGCTAATATGCAAATTGACCAAACTGTGGAATGACCAGTCACTATGACAGGCACTGACCACCAGAGGGCAGACACTCAATGCAGGAGCTGCCTCCTGTGGTCAGTGCACTTCCACAGGGGGAGTGCTGCTCAACCAAAAGCCCGCTCATGGCTGGCAAGCACAGTGGCAGTGGAGGAAGCCTCTCTCCTCTCTGTGGCAGTGCTAAGGATGTCCGACTGCCCTGAGGAGCAAGCCTGAGCCATCAGTTGGAGAGGCTCACACAGCTCTCTCCTGCTCTGACTCCACACACCACAGAATTCTATCCCTTGCGACAGAATCACACTTTTATAAGTCAGGTGGTATATGGAAGAACTAGTTTCAAAATACTTTACGAAATGTTTGTTGAATGGCTCTAAGCTGAGAAAAGCTTATTGTCTAGTTCTCAAGTCAGAATCAAGCTTTAAAATTTCCCTCTCTTCTCACCTCAAAAAAGAGAAACTTTTTGAGGTGAGAAACATGTTTATTACTTTGATTTTGGTAGTTGAATGCATGTGTTCACTCATCAAATTACGTTCATTAAACACATATAGCTTTTTGTATGTCACTTACTAGTATACTGCAATAAAGCCATCAAAATAAATTAATTAGAAACTCTCTTCTTATAATTTTATTAAATGAAATAAATGGCTTATTAATAATCAGTACTTAATATTTGCACCAACTCAAGGACCGTGTTCACTTTTAATATTCTAATGTATAAGCATATCCAACATTGATTTATCATACTGTGGACAATATAGTTTGATAACAATATTCTTAACATTTGAAGTAGGTTATTATCAAATTATTTCAAATATTGTTTTCAAATTATTTCAAATCTCCTTGATAGGCATAAAGAGAGAGAGAGAGAGAGAGAGAGAGAGAGAGAGAGAGAGAGAGAGAGAAATTATGAATATCAATTCTATTATAAATATAGGATAGGGCAAAAGGGGTTTTATACTTGTAAGCACTCAAACCAAAATTCTTGTGTTATTATTTATTAATTAGTGTATTATTTCCCATGCAAACAACTGTAAAGCTACTTTTACCCCACCCTGAACTTAAAAGAAAATTGATGCTTGCCTTAAAGTTCTATAATGTTAATGTTTTTCAGAATGATAGTTCAGATTTTGCAATTGAAAACTGCAGAAAAAGTTGGTGACTCTGTGGAACTGAATACGTGTCTTTGTGTGTGTGTGTGCAGAATAAAACTATGTTTAATACAGAAGGAATGGTCACAGTTAATTTTCTAAATAATTTCATCCCTTACATATGAAGGGAAATGTTATTTTGTTAAATGACTTTAAAATACCTCATTATTCCACCTGTTAATTCTATTGATGCTCATACAGACATAATATGTATTTCAAAAAGTAATATGCACTCTTTATTGTAATTAGACTTGGGTTAAAGTATTGCAAAATTCCACTTGCAGAGAAAGTCATAATTAATATGTGGCCTACTTCATTTTACTTTCAGAAAAGAACTATGAAAGCCATTTCATAATTGGAAAATGTAACCACTCTTTATAGAGCTTGTGTTTCCTACCAGGAAATTTGACCAACCTAAATGCTCACAAGCAGAATTTTTCTATAAAGTAAGGAAAATGATACAAATAAAACTCTTTAATCATTTTTAACATCTCAAAGATTCGGTATGTTAACAGCACTTGGTTAGGTCATTTTCTCATGCCAAGGCCATGTAAAGCTGCCCTGGTTAGGAAATAATTTGACTGGCAGTTTTGAACCAAATGTGCACTGCATCTACATTTTTAATTTGCATGCTTCTTCTGCAACCTTGCACCAGTTACTTTGGCTAAATTTCCTTAACTGTGAAATGGATTCAATAAGCAGCATCTTTGCAGAAATGCAAACCTTATGCTAATGATGGCCTGTTCTGGCAGGACATTTCAAAGAAATGCTATTTTATAAAAAACCATCTGATTTATTTAGCCCGAGGCTTTTCAGAACAGCATCTATCTCACAACACATTGAGATTCGGTAGCAGTGAGAAATCTCAACATGGAAAACTAAGAGTAACCACAGACCTGGGATGCAGGACATCTAATAGGAACTTGAGGCCCAGGTTCCCTCTAGGAGAGGCCCTGCTGAGGAAGGGTGGAAGGTGTGGTAACACCCGCCTTGCTCAGGGTGCATGCCCCTGGCAAAAGCCAGCCACCTGTCATCACTCCCAAGAAACTTTCAGAGGCAAATGACTGCCAGGGTCTCAGAACAAGGCAGAGATCCTGCCAACCCCAGAAAACCATGGAGCCAAAGAAGGAGGAAATGATGGAGTCACCGAAGGAGGAAGGCCGTGTGGCGAGGTGGAATCTAGGAGTGAAGCTCTGAAGACTGCAGAGGGAACTCAAGAGGAGGTCAGTTCTGACCTCAGCACAGAGGACAGAGAAGGGATGGGACTGGACATGTGGGAGGATCTGGAAAAGGTGAGGTGCATGACTGCAGGGCCCAGAACATAGGAAACTGATGTCCATGCAAGAGTAAAAGGAGCCCTGGTCCCCAGGAATCCACAAGAAGATCCATACAGAGAGAGTACCCTGAGAAGAAGCATCAAGATGGGAAAGCAGAAAATGGTTTTTACTAATCTGTCACCATTAATTGTCCCAACAGCAGCTGCATTTCCACCCACACACCCACATGTGTCTGCTGGTGCCCGTATTTTGTCTTGAATAATACATACCGCCTAAAACAGCGTTTTTCAACCGCTGTTCCGTGGCACACTAGTGTGCCGCGAGATGTTGCCTGGTGTGCCGTAGGTGCAGACAAGACAAGAATTTTATAATTTTTCACTATTTTGTTTACTTAATATTTCATAATGAAGTAATTATAAAATACTTTCTTTGTGTTTATTTGATTCCTATTCAAGAGAATTACTTTATATATAGTCAATATAGGCACAGAGTTAAATTTTTTAACATTTTCTAATGGTGGTGTGCCTCGTGATTTTTTTCATGAAACAAGTGTGCCTTTGCCCAAAAAAGGTTGAAAAACACTGGCCTAAAAGAATCAGGATACGTTCATTCTTTGTCTTCGATCAGAAAAAAAACACACACAACAGAATTGGTCTGGAATATCCATCTGTTTCTGCAGTCAATGATAGCTTCAAAAATGTCAAGGGCAGTGCTGACAGACAGAGAGTGAATTTAAAGGGGCTTTCATTGGCTACATCTTCATAACAGTGATAATAATCATAACAGTTAATTGAAACAAGGAGAGTCTGTGAAAAGCCATGAATTAGTAATTATATTCAAAAGAGAAAAGAGAATAAGAAGTGTAGAAAATGCAGTCATGCAGAGAAGGGTATATATAACAGTTTATGTTTTATTACTTATGATTTTAATAAATAAAGGAGTGTTAATAAATGGGATTCCTGTAAGGCTCCAGGTCATTTGACATTTTAATAAATTAACTTCTGTAAAGGACCTAAACAATCTGCAAATTGTGACAAGAACTTACCCAGCGAGTAGCATATTTGATTGTAGGAATGTTAGCTTTCAGTGTATCAACCATGATTTTGGATAGTTTTGATGTCATTCAGTGCAGCAGAGTTTCCATCACGTGGAATACTAAAGAAATAAATTAGAAAAGTGACTCATGAATAATTTAATTTAAATGATAAGTAGATTTTCTATATTTTGCAAATTGTTTATATCTTCTATAGATACAAATGTAATAAATTTAAAAACTGAAAATTTATTGTGTATACCATGAATATATGCTTTGTTTCTTATTTATGTACAAAAATGTATTTGTTTCTATCTGTACAGGAAGAAAGAAAAAAAAAAATACAGAGCATTGTGAGTAATTCAAATAGTCCAGGAAGAAGTAGACACTGTACTACACTAAGGCGAGGAAGAACTGCCTCCACCCTATGCCATACACAATGGCCAAGTAAAGAAGGGGTTATGTGAGCTCCAAAATGGTGAATTAGCCCAGTGCCTAGAGGAAGAACTATTTACGCTTTGCCGTAAGTACTAGCATTTACAAGTAACTAGTTTTATTTATTTATTTATTTACTTACTTACTTATTTATTTTAATGTAGCAGTTTTCTTTTTTCTTTTTTTAAATATATTTTTATTGATTTTTTACAGAGAGGAAGGGAGAGAGATAGAGAGCTAGAAAGGTCGATGACAGAGAAACATCGACCAGCTGCCTCTTGCACACCCCCTACCGGGGATGTGCCTGCAACAAATGTACACGCCCCTGACCGGAATCGAACCTGGGACCTTTCAGTCCGCAGACCGACGCTCTACCACTGAGCCAAACCGGTTTACAAAGTAACTAGTTTTAAAGGAAATTAGTAAGAAATATTTAGTGGGGGAGTAGATACGAGTTCACAATTGAATGTGAATTTGTAATTTGACAAATCATATCAGAGAAGTAGGAAATTTTATTTCCCCTTTCTCCTTTGTGTTGCAGGTTAATCTTAAAGGTATTGGTGAAATCTACAAAGTACGCATTGGACATTACAACAGTGGAAAGGATCCCAGGTGGTAACTGGAAGAAATTCATCTTGAAAACATGGACACACAGGAGCTGTTTTGTCTAACTGTTGACTCCTGGATGGCTGAGAATGAAAACGATTGCAATAGATGGAAAGAAATGCCCATTATGAGAAATAATAAAGCATCTTTGCCAGGTATTTAATTTTGCTTCCTTTGTGATTGATATTAAAGATAAAAATAATTTAAATGATACAGAACAGAGAACAGGAACCTTTTCCAGTAAAGATCCAAACACTAAATATCTATTCTTTGTGGGCCATGGAGTCTTGAAATTGTTCAGGTCCTATAGATAATATGTAAAGTAATAGTGTGGCTGTATTAAAAATTATTTATGGGCACTGTAGTTATAATTTTATATAATTTTAATTTATCAAGGAATAATCTTTTATTTTTTAAAAATTTTTAACCATTAAGAAAAGTGAAAAGCTTTCTTAGCTACTGGACTGCACAAAAACAGATGCTAGAAGATTTGGCATATAGGCCGTAGCTTTCCTTATTTAGAACATCAGGCTTTAGGATTAACACTTGCATGGTTGTTCAAAGGTGAAAATGTACAAGGATGTATGTGTGTCGTCAATTCATCTTTCTGCAAATGGTTTGCTAGCCGTTTCAAAGTGGCTTTCTTCTTGGCTATACTATTAGTAAATGTTATCAATCATGAATTTAGGAGCACCTAAATCCCTCACTCAGGTTTTTTGTTTTTGTTTGTTAACTCACTGTAATCACCTTGTTTTCACTGCTGTATTGAAAATATTCTCCTAATGGATACGAACGGCCATTTTGTCCTAAATTAACTGTGTGTCTGTGTGTTTTCTCTGTGTCCTAGAACTCTTTACTGCATTTGACACTGTTGATCCCTCATTTGAATAGGCAGAGACTGCTAGGGACTCTGGAACTAAACACATTGGTTTAGTCTTGGCTTGGTGATATATTTAGTTGTGCTAACCTTAGCCAGAATACCTCATCTATGAAATGATGAAAATATGATGGTTTTAAGTCATGAGATAATGTACTTAGTCTTTCTGGTACATAGAATCAAGAAATAAATACTAGCTATTATCCTCTAACCGTGACCTTGCTTATATGATACAAACATAATTCTTTACTGATTCCTCCATTAAATTTTTTTTAATAACTACCTCTAAGTGGTTCTTTTTCCTTGAACATATGGGTTTAAATACTTGATTTGTCACTGTCCTTTTAAGCCTCTTCCTAACTCCTGTTGCTAACTTTACACAGAGGACTAACATTTCATCTTTAGCCTTGTCCTCTTTCTTGCTTAGAGCCTCAGTATTTCATTAGGCAATTCACCCTCATTATCTTCAATACCTATTCATGGTCTATCCTGCCATTCCACACAAATAAAGGTAAACATATGTATACAGTGGTCATTAGCTGCCTGGTGTAATGGGACCCAGAGAACATACAATAATTCAGACAGGGCTCCTCTTCCCCAAAAACTGTTCAGTTTTCATGGCTTCAGTTAACATGTTCAGTCTGTTGTCTTCCCTCCCTCTGCCCTTTCATGTTTCTTCTCTTCGGCTCTCCTCAGAAGGCTTCCCTCCACAGCTCACTGATGCTTTGAACTACCACATCCCAACCTGAGCATGTGGATAAAAGGGAATCCTAGTGTGCTGCTGTTGGTAGGCATGCCATGGTGCAGCCACTATGAAAAACAGTATGGCATTTCCTTTAAATGTTAAAAAATAAAACCACCATGTAGTCCAGCAATTTCACTTCTGGGTGTTTATCTGAAGAAAATGAAAATGTAAATTGAAAAAGATATATCCACTATCATGTTCATTACTTGCAATAACCAATGTATAGAAATAATATAAGTGGTTATCAATCGAAATCTTGACATTTACAACAACATGGACAGATGTCTAGGGCATTATGCTATGAAATAAAATACAGAGAAGGACAAATCCTGTATTATCTTTCTTATATGTAGAAAAATACCCAAACAAAAAACAACCAGCTCAGATACGGAGAACAGATTAGTTATTACAAGTGGAGAGAGTTGGGGTTTGGGAGAAATGGGTAAGCTGTCTTATTTATGTTGTTTAAATAAATTGGATAAAAATTTTTAAAGACTCAGCAAATGCTTCACGCTCTGCTACATGAATCGGTCTTAACTAATATAGGAATGTTAGCAATTACAGAGGATAGATAAGGAAAAAACTAGAGCTAACATCTAACAGTCTAGAATTCTAGGACCTAGCTATACTATTCACCACTCAGTCAAGAATCCATTCTTTCTAAAAGTGATATATAGAAGAACTTTTAAATACATAATGCCAATAAGAAACAGAAGAAATCTTATTGGTCTGATATACTGTTATTTCTCAACGTATTGTGTTTTTAAAAGCTGCATTATTTAAAAAAAGAACTTTACTTAAACTCAACTGCACAACTATATTGTATGCAAAAGCATAGAAAGCCATTGTGTGGGTTTAAAAAAAATTCAGGCTACAAAAGAAACTCATTATATTATACTTTAAATGAACTATTGATTTTTGGGGTTCATTTAACTTGAGCAGCAATAAAAGCTCAGCATGTCTCCTCTGCATCTTTCTGTTCACCCATTTCCCAAACTAGCTAATGAAACTTTACCCATTAGCATCTCCCATTTAGAGGGGTATTTTCTTAGCTGAAGCACACCCACCCTTTCTTACAGCAATTTCTCCTATAAAGTAATGTCATGTAATACACGACACCTATCTGATCCAGTCCTTTCCATTTATTCCAATTCTGGCAAATCAATTCAGCTGCCCTTTTCCCGGACATTGAGAGGGAAATCATTTTAATAAGAAAATTAAAAAATAACAAAACACATCAATGTTCAGGAATTAACGGGGGATCAAAACCTACTGAGGAGCAAGGGGCAGTCTGGTCCTGCTTAGTATTGCTTTTGGAAAGTCATTCTTGGTGCCACTGATAGGTTCACTTCCTGTTCCTATGACATCAAAGGATGGCAGAGCAGACTCAAACCAATGCCTTGGTGCTTCTCTGTTCTGGGTTTGAAAGAAGGGGTTGACCTTCACTTTGGGATATGTCTGTCCATCTGTCAACATTTTCTGAAGTAGCCCAGGGAAGAGCACAAAGAAAAATGTAGGGGAACTTTTTGTTTTTTAATGAAACTAATGCTTAGGGTTGCCAGGCTGGATAGCATTCTAGTGATACCCTTGAGGGTTTTATTTATTTGTTTGTTTGTTTGTTTATTAATTTAATTTAGTGGGACAGAAAAGAATCCTTTCCCTTATCATTGGCACTTAACACTCGAGCCAATTAATTTTATGGCTGCCTCTTCTTTTCAAATGATAACTGGAATGTTTTCCAAAGAAAAGGTTTTCTGAGAGTATCTGTCTATAAATCCCCATTCTTCTGGGGCTGAGCTAGGTAGTTGGTGGGATCAGAGCAATCTCCTCCTGGGTGCTAGTATGCCAAGCTGAACTCATCCACACCAGCTCCGATTTGCTCACCGTCTGTCCTGTTCCTGGGGACAGGCACCAGGAGCTGCTGATCGCCTTTGCTTGGTTGTCCTTAAAAATCTTTAGTTTAATGGCTGGTGGGGTTGGCCCAGAGATGATAAGAATGTCAACTGAGCTCACCATAGCTGCTCCACACGTTCTGGCTCCAGGCTTTCTTCAGGAGAGACAGATGATGATGTGAGGTGAGGTCTTGGACCACCTCTGTGCTTGAGGAAGTGTTTGATGCTAGGTTCCTGCAAGTGCACAGTTGTGCTTGGCGGTTTGCTCCGAGATATGAAATAACTATCTGTGACTGTAAGAAAGTACCATCAGAATAGAAAACGTGTCTGCTTCCAAATATATACATTTATCAGACTTCAAATAGTGAGAAAATATGTGTTTCTGAAACATTTTCTGATACCTTACAGCAAGTTGTGGATGATAATAGCCAAGTTAAGATAAGTTTAGAAAAAAAAAACAACAAGTAGGTTTCTTTTAATGCTTTAGCCTTTACTACAATAACTAGGTTCAAGGGGGAAATGTGGGCTTTGGACAGAGACAGACCCTTTCATTAACGAAACAGCTGGAGCTCAGAGAAGCAGAGTCTGGATCAAATATTGGTCTCAATCACTGGCTTTCGAATGAGGGCAAATTGCACCGCTTTTCTCAATTTTAGTTAGTTTGCCTATGAAATGGAGCACGTTAATCTTACTATTAAGCTAGAAGCCCAGTGCATGAAATTTGTGCATGGGGGGAGGGGTGTCCCTCAGCTCAGCCTGCACCCTCTCCAATCTGGAGCCCCTCCAGGGATGTCCAAATGGTTAAACCAGCAGTCAGACATCCCTCTCATAATCCAGGACAGCTGGCTCCTAACTGCTCGCCTGCCTGCCTGATTGCCTCTATCCACTTCTGCCTGCCAGCCTGATCACCCCCTACTGCTCCCCTGCTGGCCTGATTGATGCCTTACTGCTCCCCTGCCAGCCTGATCACCACCAACTGCCCTCCTTTGCTGGCCTGTTCATCCCCAACTACCCTCCCCTGCTGGCCATATTGTGGAGGCCATCTTGTGACAATGTTGCACATGAGGGCATGATGCTACCTAGCTTTTATTATATAGGATTAGATCATGATCACCATTATAATTCACCATCCAAACCAGGACATTTTTTTGAGAAGAGAATGACTGTTAATGACTATGTGAGAATAACAGGTGTCAACTGGGACCATTCCAGGCAAACCAGAAATATGTGTCCATCAGGAGTATGTGAAAAGGTATGAATACAGTATTTGTCACATAGCAGGCACTCAGCAGTGCCTTTGCATCCTCCCTTTGACTTGTCTTTCTTTGCTGCTTCCTTCATAGCACTGAGCTGCTATTACAGTGGGAGGGCAAACACAAAGAAACCTTGGCTTTAGGACAGGCTATTCTCAGCCCCATAGCCGGTGTGGTCTCCTGAAAATATCAGGCAGGTTACGTCACTCCTTCACTTATGACCCTCCAAAGGGTTACCAAGAGTAAAAGCGAAATCATCACAACTTTTTGCAAGGCCTATCACCCTTCTCATAACTCCAGCCTCAGTGCTCCCTCAGGGCACCTGCCCCCTTAGCCCTCAGGCCTCTGCTCTTCCATTTTATCTGCTGTGCTGTGCCTCCCCGGCCTC